TGATATCTGAATGATACATCATGAATATTCATGACTGATATCTGAATGATGCATCATGAATATTCATGACTCGTATCTGAATGATGCATCATGAATATCCATTGCCCTTATCTAAATGATGCATCATGAATATTCATGACTGATATCTGAATGATACATCATAAATATTCATGACTGATATCTGAATGATACATAATGAATATTCATGACTGATATCTGAATGATACATCATGAATATTCATGACTGATATCTGAATGATGCATCATGAATATTTATGACTCGTATCTGAATGATGCATCATGAATATCCATTGCCCTTATCTGAATGATGCATCATGAATGATATCTGAATGGTGCATCATTAATATTCATGAATGATATCTGAATGGTGCATCATTAATATTCATGACTCATATCTGAATGATGCATCATGAATATTTATGACTGATATATAAATGATGCATCATAAATATTCTTAACCTATATTTTTATCTGAATATTTTTATATTTATTTCAGCCACATTTACATTAGAAATATATAAAAATAATGTTATGTGTAGACAAGAAGCACTACGCAAGTATGAATTATCAGTGTGTTCAATAACCGGAATAGAAAAAGGAAGAGTTACACACAAAAACGATATCAAGCACTACTATCTGTCAGTTGTACAGGAAGGAGTTGTTGTTATATTTCAACAAGAGACAATGCCAGAAAAAGACGGTTATGATAAACATGACATAGGTGAATGGAATGAAACACTAAGGAAACATTTTGACCATGGTATGTTAAGTGTACAATATTTATAGCAAACACATTTGCCTTGAGCTAGGATGGCTGCATCTCAAGAAATGTCTGTTGCTTAGTGTGATTGACATTCACATATATATTATTTACCTCAGAACTTCTGTTCTGTGTTACTACTGATTTTATAAAGTTTTGACTTTATTAATGGGTTGAGTATAAATCAATATATAAACAATATCACACAAGATGACAATTTATGCTTGAATGACGAACTGGTCAATTCATCCTGTGGAGGTAAAGATTCACCTCAAAGCTAAAATTGAACTTTAATTGAGATCAATATCATTGTTAATTACACAATTTCTGACAAAAAACATATAATGTTTGTCTGCATGTGTCTATCTTTCTGTCTGTATCTGTTTGCCTGTCTGTCTGTCTGCATCTGTCTGTCCTTTCGTCGATCCATCACCCCATTCATATGTCTATCTGACTAATTAACTACTTTCAACAGGTTTTGTTTATATTTTTGCAGCTTCTTTTCAAAAGGACTGAAACTTGATAGACATGTACTCCATGGGTAGTCTTGTGGCCTATAGATGAGTGACTCAAATGATGACATAGATGAGTGACTCAAATGATGACATAGATGAGTGACTCAAATGATGACATAGATGAGTGACTCAAATGATGACATAGATGAGTGACTCAAATGATGACATAGATGAGTGACTCAAATGATGACATAGATGAGTGACTCAAGTGATGACAGATGAGTGACTCAAATGATGACATAGATGAGTGGCTCAAATGACAACATAGATGAGTGACTCAAATGATGACATAGATGAGTGACTTAAATGACAACATAGATGAGTGACACAAATGATGACATAGATGTGTGACTCAAATGATGACATAGATGAGTGACTCAAATGATGACATAGATGAGTGACACAAGTGTGACTCCAATGATGACATAGATGAGTGACTCAAATGATGACATAGATTAGTGACTCAAATGATGACATAGATTAGTGACTCAAATGACAACATAGATGAGTGACTCAAATGATGACACAGATGAGTGACACAAATGATGACATAGATGAGTGACTCAAATGACAACATAGATGAGTGACTCAAATGATGTCATAGATGAGTGACTCAAATGATGACATAGATGAGTAACTCAAATGATGACATAGATGAGTGACTCAAATGATGACAGGTGAATGACTCAAATGATGACATTGATGAGTGACTCAAATGATGACATAGATGAGTGACTCAAATGATGACATAGATGAGTGACTCAAATGATGACACAGATGAGTGACTCAAATGATGACACAGATGAGTGACTCAAATGATGACAGATGAGTGACTCAAATGATGACATAGATGAGTGACTCAAATGATGACATAGATGAGTGACTCAAATGATGACATAGATGAGTGACTCAAATGATGACATAGATGAGTGACTCAAATGACAACATAGATGAGTGACTCAAATGATGACATAGATATACTATAGTGCATTTTTGGTGGTCTATTGTAATGTTTTCAAACCATATACATACTGTGGAATACTTTATTTTGCTGGAATTAATTTTCGCTGAAAAGGCTTTTTGGGCGTTTTGCTTGGAATTTATTTTCACTGATTTTTCATGAGTTTAATGTGAAATATAGGAAAAAAAGTATATTCGCTGGATTTTATGTTCACGGAATCATCCCTTCAGCAAAAATAGCGAAAATAAATTTCAAGCGAAAATAAAGTATTCTACAGTACGTCAGATGAATTTTGTGCATATCACTTTCATCAACTTGAAAATTTCTACTTGGTTGCAGAAGAAACTCACGAGATTAAAGTTGAATATTCAGGATCAGCTGAAAAAGCCATAATACACTTTTTCAAGAATGCCATTGGGATTACATGTTTTGAACCTGTACGCCACCTACAGAAGTGGACTGGGCATGAAATTAATCGTTATAAAATGGAAAATAAAAAGATTATTGTGGAAATTGATCAACCAAATGGTGAAATTAAAGGTATTTTGTATTTATATGCCCCTTACTGGAAAAGTCACAAGGTTTGTCGATAGATTGATTGTTGTTGTTGGATGAATTCAAATTTCGTATTTACATATACCCGAGAGTGAACTTACTGGCATTTTAACCACCTGGCAATCACAAGTAATGAAGGCAGCGGCGAAAACTCTGAAAAGACTGTTAGAGTACTAAAACTACTTTGGTTAGTTAACTCTCCTGAACAGTGCAACAAGATTACCCCTACATGTACAACATACATCAATTTGGTTGTTCAGGATTGTTTTATTCTTGAGTTTGTGCTGTTTCTTCAACTTTAGCTGTTTTCACCGGCTCGACCGGGGTTCCATAGCAGCTCTCACAGAGCCCATAGAAATACATGCTACAGTGGTGCATGTCTTAACAACATAGAACATTCTGTGACATTTACAAGGAGTTTCTGCTGAGGAAATACAAGTTATGTCTGTCTTTCATTGATCTCTTTTTGCAAGTAATGTAGTATTATTCACAACAAAAAGCAGAAAAAATTCATCTCTGCACTCGTTATCATATTTGATTGGATAAATCATTTAGTGCTAACCTTGGATCGTCAACGCAATCAGGCAACCCAGTCAGGAGGCCATCAGAACAGTGACATCACTTGCAGAGTCTAGAATCTGGATGGAACGCTGCAGTCAAGTGCACTTTAGCATACAGAGGGGATGACAATGCCCTCTGAATGTTGTCTGATTTCAATAATGAAATCTGTTGTTATTGGCAATAGACCATTTTATTTGATGTTGATTTTAGTATTAAAGACTTGTGTCCTAATAATTTCCCTTTTCTATATACCTTCTATATTCATTACTGAAAAAAATATTGTATTTATATCCATGGAATTATCTTCAGCGATGACGTCATAAAATCCACTGGTATTGATAATGCTATAAGTTTAAGGTTTGCGTACATAGCGGGAATGTACCATGTTGTTCTAATTTTGTTTGCAACCTGGCAACTGATGACATCATTGGTTCGCTTGGAGGTCATGCACAAAGCAATGATGTATCTGTCTCGTTCCGTTCTTGTATGCGAATCTTAATGTCTTTAATAAACTCTTGGCAGCCTACTTTGGCCTTTCAGTATTTGTGTACAATTTGATTGAACTCAATTAAGCACGCGTTTATAATTTACAAAATGCATTCTGTCTCTCAGATGCCTTCAATGTATACATGTATATTTTTTTATTGACATGATTTTCTGTTCATTGTGGCACAGAATACATTATCTCAGCTGCACTCAAGAAAGAAGCAACTATTCAAAATGTCTATAAGAAATTAGAAGCAATTTCAAAAAATATCAACAAGCCACCTAGACCACCATTACCGCCACCAATTGATAATAACAACACGACATACAGACCTTCGTTAACACCAAGTAAGTCTGTGCTTGTTTCTATATATTAATCCAATTATTCTAAAAAGATGCCGAATTCATACTGCCCTCAGTGCTCATACTAAAATTCTCTTGTTTTTTGATGAACATATCATTGGTTGTGTTCAGTACATATTCAAATGAGGCCTGTTTAATATTTCATATTATGTTGCAACAAGTAGTTCCCACTTTGTTTTATAATCTTTTCTGTTATCTGATAGTCTGGATGTGTGTGTGTGTGTGTGTGCGCGTGCGTGCGTGCGTGTGTGTGTGCATGCGCGTCCACTGATATCTCAAGAACCATATTTTGGTTTTTAATGAAACTTAGTGTATAGATGCTCTGGACAAATGCACAGAGTTGATTAGGTTTTGGTTGAAACCATACATATTAATTACCTAATTTGCATGATAATATCTAATTTATAGCTGTTCCTTGACTATTCCACTGATATCTAATGAGCCATTCATTAGATTTTGATGAAACTTGCTACATAGATGCTCTGGACTAATGCACAGATGTGATTAGTTTTGGGTAAAAATCCATGCATATAATTAACCTAATTTGCATAATGATTAGTCAATTTTCGGCTTTTCCACTGATATCTCAGGTACTATTCATCACATTTCAATGAAACTTACATAGAAATATAGGACGACGGACAGACAGATATGTGAAAGATTAATTACCTAATTTGCATAATTAATCAATTTTCAGCTTTGGATATTTCAAGTACTATTACTTTATTACTTGGTACATGGAAAAAGAACTGACTAATTTTAAGTAAAAATGTGTGCATATTTGCATAATTAGTTAATTTTTGGCTTTTACACTGATATCGCAAGTACTAATTGTCCCATTTCAATGAAGCTTGGGATATAGATGTTTTAGGAGAATGCACAGACCTATTAGTTTGGGGTTAAAATCAGTGCATATTAATTACCTAATTTGCATAATTTGACAATTTTCATCTTTTACACTAATTTCACATGTACTAATTATTTCATTTCAATGAAACTTGGTACATTGATGCTCCAGAACAATGCACAAACCCGCTCAGTTTTGGGTTAAAATCAGATCATATTAATTACCTAATTTGCATAATAATCATAATTTTTGGTTCTAATCACATTTCAATGAAACTTTGTACATAGATTGTCTGTGACAGTACTTATTTTAATTCAATGAATCTTGGTACACATACTCTAACAAAATGTGATGATCAAATTAGTTTTAGGTTTATATACATGCATAATAATTACGTAATTTGAATAATAATTTGCTTTTCAGCTTTCCACTAATTTATTTAGGATTAATCATCACATTATAATGAAACTTTGTACATGTGCACCCTGAAACAATATACAGACCTAAATCTATGCATAATAATTGCTTAATTTGTATAATAATTCATTTGGTTCACTGAGGTAAACCCCAGACATGATTAGTTTAATAAACATGCATATTGATTATCTATTATTAGCCCATTTCTGATATCTAAAAAAAATCAGATTTAAATTGAATTCTTCGCAGAGGTGCTCTGGAACTAATTAGACTAAAAACCATAGATGAAAAATCAAATGGATTTTCTGTATGTATTATGAATTTTGATAATGTGAATCACATTTTTACCTTGCCTGTACCATCAAAGATGGAAGGGAAAGGTATATTAAGGGAAAAATTTTGTGCGGCGTTGTCGTCGTCGTCGTTGTTGTTGTTGTCGTCGTCGTCGTTAATAATTGTTATTGTGTGCATAATAACTTTACTAATTCTATTCCAAACTTTATCAAACTTGGTCACCTTATTCATCAGTATAAAGTCTTCTCTGAGTTTGAACAACAGATGTCCTGTATGAAAATCTCATGCAAAAATTGAGAAAATCTGATAAAATATTTTGACTGTTTCTACTTGACTGATCACTGGTGATACACATCAAAGGTCACTGATCTCAGTGGAAATATGCATTGTTGTATGTGTTCAATGAAGCAAATGATTTATCTTGTAATAATATCCTTGGTAATGTATCTCAGAATCCCATACTGGGTTTCAAAACCAACTCATGGAGAGATTGCACAGTCTGATACACATTTGCAAACCTACCAATAAAATCTTTACAGAAAACAAGATGTCAGAAAATCAATATAAGCACTCCTATGAACTGGGTGCCTAACTTTGATCAAGATCTGAAGCTAATAGAAAATCTGTTTAGTTCAAAGTTATCAAATCAAAAACAATACATAAAAAATACATTAAAAGCAAAACATTTCATCCACATTTTAAAAAGAAAATTATTCTAAAATATATGTATTCTGTATTTGACAAACAGTTCATTCGACAAATGAAAACTCACAGGAATATGTTTCAGCTATTAGAACAGAATGATAGAGTTTTTATAATACTACCGTTAAAGTCCTATTATAAACCGCGGTTTATATTACAATGTATCAATTTAAAAATTGGGATCAAAAGCTCAAGTTCGGGGTGCGGTTTCTATTACGTACATATTGCAATCTCTAAATGGGCGTGGTCATTTTTTGTCCACAACACATGCACAAAACAAACAATACACCGTACAATCTCTTGAATAGGCGTCGGGGAAGAGTGAAAGGCCTTATTTTGGTTCTAAAATAGGCGTTACGAAATGTTGAAAAATTACAGTCAATCAAAAAAAAATTCCACATGATACAAAAAATACTCAATATTTTTAATGTAATATGCATTTATTTTTTTAATTTTCTTGGTAACGAAAAGTATATTCTAACAGAAGTTTCAAATAAAAACACGAATGCACTGCTTAGTAGCAAATGATCACATAACGGTAGCTCGATCTGGCCATGCTGCGGGTCACAA